TCATTCAGCAGCTTTCATCGTTCTCGTTGATCCCCTTATAACGCTTATCGCCCCGCTTCACCAAAGAAAATTTTGCTGTAAAATTCGCGTGTTTTGCACTCATTTGCCCAACGATTGCTGGCGGCAATGCTGTATACATTGTATCCGACATTGTCACTGTAGTTTGTATTGCTGCTGGTGTTGTGTTTGTTGTAACTGCTACTTTTGTGCTTTATATTTTCCCTTACATACTTGGCTAGTTGTCCTTTGTGACGCTCATTTGGCTTAACACGTGTATGTATGTGTAAATATATACGAGCGCATGTTGTTTTTGTTGTTGCATTTACCCTTTGCTGCAATTTGCTGCTTACAATAGTCACTTTTGTTGCACGTTTTAGCGCTGTTTTGTTGTTATTGCTGTTGTCATTACACCTCTAACTGTCATTGTGTCTCTCGTTGTCACCGCGTTGCTCCGTGTCTATTTTTCACTTGTCTTTCTTGTTGCTTTTCCGCTTTTGTGCCACATGCTTTTAATCAGCTCGAAGGATAAAGTGAAATAGACAAATAGATACATGCAACGTGCTAATGTTGCACAAACACCTGCGCGCATTGCCATGTGAACTAGTTAACAATAACAACAACAACAATCATGCCGTATAAGTTAATTTGGCGCAACGCTTTATGCTAAGCAACTCATGCCACTCGCCACATGCCATATGCCATACGACACTCGATCTAGCAGCCATTTGAGCTACTTACTTGTTATGTTGCAAGGGATGCTGGGTAATTGTCAACACCCGATCCGTTTACTTGCAACTCCTTATAGCATATGAAAGTTTTGTCGCGGCGAAGAGGTGTACAGCTCTTGTTTCTCACACGAATTTCTAATGAGACGCTCAATGGGTTAATTTGTTGTATTCGTAATATCATTTGAGGCGCTAAGAAGTCAAAGGTCACATTGCAAAAATATTATAATAGACGTGTGTGTGTGTGTGTAGACACCCATACATACACGCCGCTTTTCAATGTTGTTCAACTTCATTTTCCACTCGGATACGCTTTTTGTGTTGTTGTCATTTGCACCTGCTCACTTTGTCTATCAACTTTACCACAGCTAATTAACAGTTGGTTAAAGGCGATTGGCCGGCAGTGAGCACAGGAAAAGCAGCAGAAAGCCACAGTACAGTACTTTGTGGGAAATGGCAATTATCTTTTGATGTAATTAAAATGTTATTTTTTAATTTACTTTGAATAATAGTGCGCAATTCGAGAGCATTTGCGAATTAATGGTTAAAATAAAGTCATAGAGCTAGTTTTACTACATGAAGCTATTGAGCTACAAACCTTTTCAGTAGAAGATCCACGATGGTTATTGGACAAAAATTGTTGTCGCAGCAGCAGAAAAACTAGTTTACAGCACTTAGCCAGTTAATAATCCAGTTTCGATCCGGTAACGTAAACATAACTTCCAAAGAAATGAGCCTATAAGCCATCGCACTATTTCCTAAAGTTGTTTCTATCAATTATTATCTCAGGAAACTGAAGTTCTAAATTATACCAAATTATGGACATTGGACAGATTGACACACTTTTTCAAAGTAAACCCAGAAAATATTTTCTACCAACTAAAACTCCTTACACCTAGATCTTACAGCCTATATTTTATTATACATTAATTCGAAGGTGTTTACATTCTCTCTTTTTCCAATCCGATTACTGCTTTCATCTCATTTCTATCTCCGAACTTTCATGGAGATCAAAAGAGTGGATGGCGAGACATTCTTGTACATTCCTTCTTTTAACTTTTATTTCACTTATATGCTCTTGAGTCTAGTTTAACACCTACTTGATAGCTTGAACTGTGTGTACCCGCAAGTAATCTTCCTCAGTAGCATATAGAACAAATTGTATAAAGACTTTAGGCTCAGATTTCCAGTTTACTCTTATTAGAAAAAGTCACAACAACTTTTGCACTTTCTAAGAAAACTGATTTACGCTGAATTAATCGAGCATATAGCATTTTCTTTACAGGTTCAAAAACGTTTTGGATCCTTGGTACGGAAAGATACTATCAATTTTTTAAATTCCACCCGATCCTTAAACTTTCTAGTATGCAAATCAAGTACCAATTAATCAGTCAGTCCGTCTCTTTTTCTATCTCCAATATATGCCATAGAACTATTTCCGTCATATTAACTCAATATATATATTAATTTTAGCCACTTCGGTCGAGTTGGTACTACATACATATATCTCATTTAAAGATGTTTTTAATATAATATAATTTTAGCTGATACGAACTTAAAAATAGCATAAAAGCTAAGTCAATTTCAATATAAATCAAAAATATACCAAATATAATTGTAACTTATTCACGATTTCATTGTATGATGAAAGTTTAATTCTTTCGCATCAGTTTTTAGTATAAGTTTTGCCAGCACCTAAAGGAATTTTCCTCGCTTTACTTTTTACAAGTTGCCCTTCCTTACTTGTTTTATTTATTTGTCTAACTCAACGCAGCTATTGATGTTCGGATTGATGAGAAAACAAGGCAGCTGCCTGCTGCTTAAAATTTTAATTAATTATTTATGAAATAAATATAGGTATGGAATGGGTGTCTACTTTACCAACTTTCAGGCTTAGAAAAAATGTATAAACAAAACCCAGATGAAAGCCCTATAAAGCATATACCTATATAAATATACGGCGTAATAAGCTGAGTCGATTTAGCCATAACCGTCTGTCTATATATACACGTAGTAGTCCTACAGTTTTTGAAATGTTTATCTGTAAGTTTGCACTCTTTTTCTTCCAATAAGCTGCTCGTTTGTCGGAATTGCCTATATATCTACTATCTATATATTTGTCACACAAATTGATCAATCAAAATCAAGATAAATTTCTTCATGAAATATTTTTTTCCTTTTTAAGTAACCTTAGTTAGAGAACGTGCCTAGAAAAACGTCTTCCGTAGGATGCAAAACGTTGGCCGCTCACGTTCTCAGATTTAGTAACCGGTTTTCTTGATTTCCTTACTTTACATTAGTAAAGTTCTTATATAACAACAGCATTAATTTTGCACTCAAATATTGACATTTATATCCAGCCTTGCAACTTTTATTACAACAAAATATTTTGATGATAATAAAATTCATTAAGTCCAAGTATTTTCCACAAAATCTTTACCTGCTCAGTTACTGTTCTAACTTTTTGCTCAGAGAGACTCCGACTTGGTTTTCGTTTAAGTACAAGTTCAATTAAAAAGAGAAATGTTGTTAACGATTTTAAGTTTACTCCTAAAGCTTTATTTTAAAATTTCTTCATTTCCACTTTCCACTTTAAACAAACCTTCTCTGCATATATTTAATTTTTTTTCGATATAATTTCTACCTTAATTCAGCAACTCTGGCGCTTATTTCCACAACCAATTGAATTCAATTTAACATGCATTTAAGTCTTCCTAAAAGCTTTGCATTTTCCACACAACTGACCAAAGGCATATCGGACACATTTCCATTGTTTAGATTTTAACAAAATGCAGAATTGTTTACTATTTATTTGTGTTAAATAGTTCGATGTTTTTATTTTTAATTTTCCTACGAGCAGCATAGTGCGTTTCGATGTTGTAGTGAATATTACAGCAGCCAGCAGCCGACAACAACAGCAACAACAACAAAGAGCAACGTAACAGAGACAATTCAATCAATTTAACGAAACAAAAGCTTTTTGAGCCATTGATTGGATATTGAGGGCAAACTGATGGCCGCAGCAAAATAAAATTGCACAACCACATGCACATGGCATACACACATACACACATTTATTTATATAAACGCACATACACGACCGAAACGAAGTCATATATGCACAAAAGTAGATCAACACCAGCGCAGAATTCAAAGAAACAAATACGGTGTGTTTGTGTGTGTGTGCTTTCTATGTGTGTGTGGTCAAGTATTATATGGCAGCTGAAAGATCTATTTACCCATTGTACGCCCGTGCTAACTAACTAAACTAGAAGCCAAAGTGACTAGCTTACTGCAACAAATATATTTATATGTATATGCACACATACACACACGCACACATATGAATGCATTTGAATGCTCACATGCGTTTGCAAGTGAAAAGGGACATTTCCGTCTAAACACACACACACTCATACACCTATTAACATGTGTTTCAATGTGTGTGTTAGTTAGGGCAACAGAGACATAGGAGGAATGCATGAACGGTTCGATGAATGCTTTCAAATGCAGGCAAATCCTAGCAAATAAATGAGCGTCTGACCCGGTTGCAGTGCTGGCAACCTTAACAAAAACTTTTCGGCACAGCAACAACAACAGCGCAGCAATAAAGATTAAAATAAATGGCCAAAAATTGCTTTGCACCAAAAAGGTTGACCGAAATTCATCAAAAGCAAGCTACAACACCTGGAATATGGTGCGGTAAAGCACACCCAGCAGGAAATCAATATCTACTTTTGGTAGTTTGTTAGGTCACCGATGTTGAAAATTTGACAATAATCAGCAGAAAGTATGATCGAATAGTTAATCTACTTAATATTGTTTCTATGCGTCCGTATTGCTTGATAAATTAATGCAATGGCATCCTAAAAGTAGGCAATATTTTCTATACGAATTGTTAAGCTGCGATAAACAGCAAAAATAAAAAGTTGCCTTCAATAATGAACTTATTATATTATATTTATCGAAAACACACACACACTCAAAGAGGGAATATTAAAGTAACGAGTTAGTATAGAGTGAGGGATTAAAAAATATATATTTTAAAAAATGTATTTATTGGGTTTGGATTTTCAATATAATATTAACGAAAAAATTATGCGAGTTTCTGGTAACTATCACGCACTATCACAGTAATGCAGTTTTTGAATTTTAAGGCTGAGAAAAGATGTAATGGCATGTATATACTTCTCAGTTCAGTAGGACATAATTGTGTGATCAATTGAACCACCTACATGCAATAAATGAACAGTTATAATTACAATTCGTACTTACCAATAACAGCAGACTTTAAGATATATGCAGTAAAAGTTCAAAGTCCTTTTTATCAATTAACACGATCTGTAAAAATAGAAAATTGCAACAATTAATAGTGATAATAAAAATTGTGTTTGAAATTATTAAAAAAAAAATTAAATCATTTTCTAATGAAAATTACTATTTCAGTTAAAAGTCTGTCATATAGTAAACATGTATAGCAATGTCGCTAATTTCTAAGAACATACACCTAATAAATCGAAAAGATAAAAATTTGAAGTTGATTTTTTCTCATTATGTTACAGCTTTATGTTTTGATATCACCTCAGATCATACTGTAGGATTTTATTTTCAAATAATCAGTAGATTTTTTTTTCGAATAGAATTTTCAGATTTCAGTTGCAATAACTGATCATCTGAGCTAAGTTGTCACGAGAGACTGTTAAGTAATGTATTTATGCTTGTAGCAAATCCAACAGCGGCTACTCTATTTTCGTCAGGGTACCAGCTATCAAAGAAGGAGCGTACGATCAAAGGATATTAACGCTTAATTCTCATTTAGCAGTTCAAGGAAAGAGCCACTGCTACGAGAGGATATTAAACTTGCTCACAGATAAGCATTGCAGAATTCAGCTTTTCAGATCCTCTAACCGCTGCTACATATATGAAGTGACGAAAACTTTAAGCTATAGGTTGCCGTATATCTCTTACTAACACGTTCACTTTCAGATCATACCTAGCATAACTTAAAAGGAAACACTTTTATATGCCTAAAGTAATTCGAAGATCTTAGTTTCTAATTTACATCAATAAAAAGTTGTGGGAATTATATTAAATATACCAATGGATCGTTCAAATAGTGATTTGAGCTCATTTGATGGTAAAAACTTCAACTTCCAGTTACACTAGATAATAGCTTGTGCTTGAAGATACGAAACTTAAGTCAATCCTAAAACCTTAAAATCACAACGCAAATACAAAAAACTACAAACTGGCTTGGATGAACACAATTATATTTTCATTCTACACTACAAAAAACTAAAAATTATAAATATTAAAGACTGCTTGACGATGATAAAAAATCTTAATTATCTACTTTCTGCGTCATTAAGAGTACCGAGCGGCGCGTACGTATTTTAAAATTTATCATTAAAAGTTCGCAAGTCGGCATTAATTTTCTCTACTGAAAAAATACTTGATTCACTCTCGTCAGGCAACAAAGTTACTGTTATTGCATTGGCTTGCCTGGATGTGGTCCAAAGTGACGCACAACCAACTAGCGGACCAACGAAAATCGATGCTTTTAATTAGTGCACACACACACACAAACCCACATGCACATATATACTGCGAAAACACGTGAATTATATACGCTGTAAAAACAACAACCACAACAACAAGCCAGCGATTGTACAATATTTCGACAACATCAAATAGTTGAGCCGTCGCACTGCAAGCGAAACCGCGACGCGACATTCAGTCGTTAAATTTCGGTCCAATTAGAGTAGCAGTCCGAGTGCCCGAGGTGCGGGTGCGGCGCGTAAAGAGGGAGCTCAGCGCGAAATATTGGTGACCACGACATGGTGTGCTGCGGAGCTGAAAAAGTGGCTATTGACTGATATTGCGCGCGTCCACCGCAAAACTTACTTTAGTAACTGGCGCTTTGAGAGAGAAAAGCACACACTGTGTGGACGAAAAAAGTGGAGCGGCAACAAAAGTTGCACAACAAAAGCTGGAGGTACTATATAAGCGGGTTTTATGTAAAATTATGTAAAAGTGTGTGTGCGGCAAAACCACGAACAAGCGGGACATTTCGGAGCTCGCAGCGATTTCTTATTGGCGTTCTGTTTGGCCTTTTGCTGCACGTCTCGCTTTCGGCTACTGAAGTATTTTATTCTTCTCTCGTATATTAAACTATACATACATAGGTATGTGCCGCTTGTTTGTACATGTATCTGGATCCACATATGATATACACAAGCTATGGTCCAGCAGTTAGAGCTGTCGCTCTTACGCACACTTAAGTTCATTAAAAATCACAAAGCGTTTCATATTTCCGAGGACATAAATGTACGTGCGTAAAATACGCAACGCATGCAAAAAATAAAAACCAAACGAAGGCAAACGACATTCGCTCAAATAGGTATATACAACACACTTATACACAATGACCAACCCGAAGAAGTGACACATTCCTATGAAAGCGAAACTACAAACACCCATAACCCGCTTTCTTGCCCCTTCCTGCAGCTTCGAACAAGTGTCGAAAAAGAAACTTACAGAGCCTCCTGAAATTGATGCTGAGACCGGGGCGACGTGGCCTGCAAACTTTTCGGCTAATTCAACGCGTACGACGAATTAAGTTCAAACGGCAAGAGGGAGCGTGGTACTCATTGCGGACTGTTGCGACTGCTAAGTAGCGAGTTCGTTGTATCTTTGAAGAGCTGCGTGTAGATTAAGTGAGCGCGAGTGCGTGAATAGGAACAGTGTGCTAATAAAAGTGTTGAACTTAAAGAGTGCAAACTCAATATTAAATTCTAGTAGCTTAGCTAATAGCTTTAGGTTATCAAAAAATATATAAAAGGAGGGTAGAAATTAAGGCAATCGATTCTCTCATTAAATCGTAGTTTAAGATAATACTACAACTTTCGTTCATGAATTTCTCAATGCTAGGGTGTTCCTTAAACACATATTAAGTCGTTAGGCAGCAATAATACATAACTAGTCTACTTCAATTACCTTCTATCGGAGATTACAAATTACATACATATACTTGACATTAAATAATACATAAAAATGGTATTTACGTACCACCCTAGTAAATTAGGTATACAAATATCCACAGAAACTTAAAAAGTTCTGAACTATTGTTAAAAAATATATATCGTCTAATCACTTTTTGTCACATCACTATTCTTATACTCTCGTAACATGTTGTACAGAGTATAATATCTTGATGGCATATGCATATCATATGTATATAAATGATCAGGGTGACGAGACGAGTTGAAATCTGTGAGTGACTATCTATCCGTCCGTCCGTGTGTCCGTGCAAGCGATAAATTGAGTAAAAATTGAGACATCGTGCTGAACACGGTACACGTATGTCTTGGCATCCAAGGGGGATTGGTGTTGCAAATGAGCATTATCGGACCACTGCCACGCTTACAAAACGCCATTAAACGAAACCCTATTAAATGCCATAACTAAGCATTTAATTAAAAAACTGTGATTTGATGCAAGGAATCGGTATGGAACGAGCACTTGTGGGCTAAATTTTTTTAAAAAGCGGGCGTGGCCCCTCTCTCTAAATGGTTAAATGTACATATCTACAGGCCTCAGACACCAAATATGTGTACACCAGTTAAGCCTGGTTTTTTATATCGAACATATCGGTTAGTCTATGACTTCTAGTACTGAAATTTGGTGAGAATATTTTTGTGACAACAGCATGCCATTTTACAGAAAATGAGTAAAATCGGGTCAATACTTCCCTTAGCCCAAATAACTAATACAAATATTTTCGAACTGCCGGTTGACTCTATACCGCATCTACATATATGTTAGAAATCTTAACAAAATTCCGAAAAACTCTATTTCTAATTGTAAATAATGGATGAAATACTTACTACTTTTAATTAAAATACATACGAAAATGTCGTAAATCACTTTACCTTGCGAGAGTATAAAATGTTCGGTTACACTCGAACTTAGTCCTTCTTTACTTGTTACTTGTTGTTATTGTCACTTACTTTTTCTACAATTTGTAAATGTTCTTATACTTTTTTAGTTGTCATGTTTTGTGCCAGTCACAATATTTATGTTGCAACAATGACAGAACAACTACAACACTTGTCAACTGTCAACTTTGCTATTTTTCATGGAGAGCGTTCTGCGTGAGTGACACGCCATCAAAATCATCAACATTATCATTGTCAGCAATGCTGATATGAACAGTGGAAGTGAATTGGTAAAAAATCGGCCAAAATTTTACCAATTTTAGTTACATATTGATTCTTTCTTATTAATAATTAAAATTAAATTTTTACTCCTATATAATTGTATATGAAATAAGTGTTATTTTCTTCCTAGAAAATTTGAAAATTTATTTTCTGAGTATTGGAAAAAGCCAATTTTTTCGAGAGATTAAGTCGTAGGCAAAAAACCAAATCCTGCGCTTTTCGAAGTTAGCTTTCAAATCGAGATATTTGGCTGCGAATTTCCAAATTGAGGTTTTTGAAAATAGCATTATTAATTAGAGTGTACAAGTTTCTTGAAGAGTAAAAACTTCGCAATCATCCACGTTTTTTATTAATTTATATGGTGTTTAATATTTTATATGATAAATGCGTCAAGCGACTAAAGTTGGCCCTTTTAAAAAAAATTATTTTTATTTCAAATGTATGTACTAACCTGAATTTAACCCCTTATAGCATTTGTCATATAAGCTTTAGCGAAAAATGTTATACACTCTTGAAATACGAGAAAAACGTGAATAATAACGAGTTCCTATATTTTTAGGAACTTACACACTTTAATTTCGTAATTCGACATTCGAAGGTAAACATTTCGATATTCTCTAAGACTAACTTTGGAAAACGGAAAACCATTGGTTTGGTCCCACACCCAGGCCAGTTTTGAAAAATATCAAAAACGACTCTTATTTAACCCAAGCTTTGCTAGGCCTAGAGAAATAAGAAAATTTGTGAATAGTGTTAGCTGAGCCCACTGTAGGCCAGTCAAACGTGCGTCAAGATCATTGTTGCTTTTAAGTGTAAAATCAAACACAGCAAATTTAATGTCAAAATAACTCAAGCGCAAAAATGAAACATTTGTTTTACGCTTTCTTCTATTTCGTATTTTGGAACAACTGTCACAGCTGCAGCTGCTATTGTTTCTTTCTGGGAATCGGAGAGATTTTAACACGGTAGTATAATCGCTGAAACAGTGCTGACGCTTTAAAACTCATGAGTTACTAAAATTATTACTGATCCTCAAAGGGGGCGGTTCTTCAACTAGTACTTCAAATTAAGATTGTTGCTAAAAAACAGTTACATAATTTTGTTCTTTGAGAATATAAACAA